TTCCACTATACGACAGATTTGTCTTCAATTAAGATTAAAAGTGACTGAGATTCATCATAGATGGAGAGTTTGTTGTCTTTCGCAGTTTTTGTTGCTGGTGATCGAGATGGCGATGGAGATGGTGATGACGATGTTGATGATGACGATGTCGACGATGACCATACGGGGTCAATGACATGATATTGGTGATGAAGGTGATGATAATGATGATGATGGTGATGATGATGTAACAAAAGCCGTGACGCGTGGTAGTTTATTTGTTAATTCTCGAAACGGATGGGCCAAAAAGTAAAATATTTCAGTCAACACTAATTTTATCGAAAAGTTAAGAGTTTTGAAGTAGGTTTAGCGTCGCCACAAAACCGTCCTTCGGGGAAGGCCCCACGAAATTTAGCAGTATTTTTAACAAGTTCACTTAGACCATCGGGACCATTTGTTGAGCATCTGGTATAAATAGAAAAATCAATATTTCTAATAACGCGCGAAATGCATTCGAATGAACACGTAGGAATTCCAATATATTTAAATAAGTTGTTAAATTGACAATAATTGGAAAATAAAGATATATCAAATAGCTGGTTTTTTAGGCGGATTTTCCAAGCTATAATAGTTTGATAAGTGAGATTGACTAATCCGTCCCGTATTGCTACACGGAGTCACTAGAGGAAGGCTAGGGTTACTTGTAAGTTCAATTAGACACAGAATTATTTATATAAATGTAAGTCCAGTTAATTAGATAACTAGTATCATGGTATAGTTATACCAAAGCGTCCCGATATTCAAGGTTCCCGCCAGTAAGATATGAACTGAAACATCTGGACCCAAGAAATGGCGTGTCGAAGCGAGGTGTCGAATTTAGGAGAGATCTCGAAAGGAAGGTAGTTTTTCCTGGGGTTCCACATTGAGCAGTCTCCTTAGTTTAGAGGCAAGGGGTTAATTTAATAATGGATAAAGTCATTCCAAATTTTACTATGGATCGCGGATTCCCTCAATCTCGGTACGCTGTTATTTTGTTTGTTTGTTTTGGTTTTATTGTTATTAAAACCCTTCCTGGAAAGTTTTGGTGTTTTCTTGTTCTTCCAACTTAAGTGTCACCCTATACAACCAACCACTGGATTACCTTGTACATGAGCGACATACGTTAAGTGTATGGTATTCATTCTCTGGACGTACAACATTTCTAGGTTCCCACGTATTAATTAAAGTGTAATGATAATTATAAACTCTCTTTCGAGACGTTAATAGTAAACTATTTTGCAAATTAATATCGTAATGATGCTGGTCAGTCATAACGGTAGATAGATAAATGAAGAAATAACGCCTCATGTTACAATGATGATGATGAAGATGAAGATAATGATGATTGAAGACAAGAAATAGTTAGTACCACTTGTGAGTGAGTGCGCTTCTTACTGTGACTAAGAAGTACTGCGTCTTGCTGCAAATACCCTTGATTTCGCTTAAATTGGCTATGGATATTTTTTGTTACAGAAAGATGAAGTATATTATTTCTATAACATTTCTATCAGCCGATCTAATCCGCACGAATAACTGCGAAAGCAAAAGTTAAACTATTGGAGAACTTGTCAGTTACCACGTTCAGACATAGGCTTGGTGGTTTTAAGTTTCAATTTATTATGCCTTCCTCACATTACCAGAATTAAATAGACGTCTCAATTTCCCCACAACTGAATGTTAACCGATGCCACAAACAATTACAACTTGATTATGTCGATATTGTCAGTTTTGTCAACTAATGAGTCAACAACAAATTTGTTTTCAATTAACGTTAAAAGTGACTGAGATTCATGACTGATGTGAAAGAGAGTTTGTAGAAGACTGTCACTAACAGTCTTTGAGTGTTGCCTTTCGCAGTCTTTGCTGTTGGTGTTGACGATGGGGATGATGATGTTGGTGATGATGACGTTGGTGATGATAATAATGATGATGATGATAAAACACAACCACTTAACGAAGTATATTCAGGGAATCATTTTACCAATTTCCTGGAAGACAAGAAATAGTGCACAATTGTCACAATGTGGTTCTTGCTATGGCTGGGAAGTACTGCCTCTTGCTCCGCGTATTCTAGACTTCTCTTCGCTAATTGGTTGTCACCTTTTTGAGCTATTTAGGAAATTCTTGGAAGGCAATCCATTTGCTTGTAATTATGAAGGGGAAATATTGATATTTTTGTTATAGATAGATGGAATATATTCTCTGACACACTTTCGCTACCTTTGGTCGAGGATTAATTACCGTTTCAAAAGCACTGCGTAAATATGGGATATTCCCCGCTTGAATGATTTAAATTTTAAATGGACATGTGCTGCTGTTGGTACAACCAATTTATGCAGCGTGAAGATGTTCTCATGGCGTATTTATAGTGTTTCTCAGGCCAAGAAATAAAACTGTAAATCGAAGAAAATGCCTGTTACAGCAGCCTTAGTAATACACTTAATTGATTTTTCTTATTTATTGATTTATTCCACGGAACAGCGTTCAGCGGTAAACTCATCCGAGTTTCCTTTAATTCCGATTCGGTTAATAAACTCTTTACTGTGGAGATTATTACTGGCCAGAGGAGAAAGTGCTCGACTTTTAGACATTTTATTCAAGTGCACTGTCCGTCCCGTAGCTTCATCTGCTATTTCAGAGCGATTTTAAATATTCATAATGCAAAGGCTTAAGGCCCCCACATACGAAGTTTTTCGACCTCACATTTGGTGCCCTTTGGCAAACATTATACAACCGGGATTAGATTAATCTTATCTAATGTCTGAAATGTAAAGCCCACCGGATCTCTCATCTCGCAATATAAAAAGTATGAATTAATACGAAAATTATCTCAGATAAAAATTTACATCATCGAACGCTACTTCAGTCGGAATCGACGTGCTCTTTTTATGTTTTATAGCGAGGTGAAGATTAAATTCGTGCGTTTTTATTTTTCGTATGCAAATTTGAATCGCGAAATCGGTTTCGCTTCTTTGGTTTAACAGAGGGGAGTTGCCAATACGCTACTGACTTATTTTTAATTGATTAGTATTTATTTGACGTGACCTTTACAGATAAATAATTACAATGTGAACTAGCGTTGATATGATTTTTTTTAACAATTGATAATAAGGGTTATACGGGGGTACACCAAAAGTCGCTTGTTGGTTTCATTTTCCATGAAATTATTTTTTCCATTGCTTATTTCACAAAGAAACCAGCACACAAAAAATGTGGTCTATACCTCGAATACAAAAAATAATATACATAATGTATAGCAAATCGAAGTTTAGATTTTAACAGTAAATTCGATACCTTATAATCCAGAACTACAGTCCGTACGATATTTGTTGAGACAGAATTCCAAAAAGACCCCTGCGCCACTTCCTTGGAATTAACCGCATTCGACACCCGAGGTAGAAGGACATTGGCGGCTTGGATCCGATTGAAATGATATGGGCTCAAGTTAAAAACAACTCGATATTTTATTTAAATTATATCGTACGGACTATACCTTCCTGTAAATATGATTATAGAACTAACATAAACACAAAATACACCGCTTATATTTATATGTAAATGACGGTGGCTTATAACACTTTTGCATAATGCCGGAAAGTCACATGAATTTGTTGCTAATGGCGTCCATCGCGCCTTTTGAATTTAATATCGACGCGTCTGTTGTAAAGCAGATGAAACAGTTAACTTTTGCGTGTTCCGCAAGTACAGCGGCTCCACATAAGGCAGTACAGAGACCGCTCTTAAATTATTAATAAATTTATTTATACTTTAACATATTGTAATTTATGTTGGCGCTTTCTGCCGATTTATGCGTCTATATTAGTTAAGTAATGCTCGTGCGACTGACACTGAATGCAAACGTAAAAGAAAACATTGTTATTTAAAACAATACATGCAGTATTAGTCTTTGGTTCATGAATTTATTTTCCGCACAGTGACAGATTGTCAAAGATTTTTTGTAATAGAAAACTGGTAAAGACTTTGGTGCTGGATAAAACAAATTTTACGTTGTGGCCGCTGTATCTTTGTTCGAAGTTTACGCTTTCACTGAAACAGATTACAGTTGAATCGAACCTTACACCCATTTAAAAGAATCTGTGACTTTTTATGACGTATAATAATGTGCATTTTGCAACGTGCCATGATTAAAATTGTATACGTTGCAGCAACGATTAATTGAAAACGTAGGTAAATTTTTTATAGACACAAAACGTACATTACAAATGCTATTAAGGCATATCTAATCCAAGGCTATAAGAAGCAGAACCCCGTATTTGTTATTACTACAAAATGCATCTCAATAGGCGTTGAAAGTAGAATTAACAATAAAGTACTTTTTAGATGACAGTAGAACATGTATTCGGGGACAGCATGTATATTTTAATACTGTACTAAAAATACCCGGTCTAGATGCTTCTATTAAAAAATGTCAAAAGATAAATTTAAGTCTAGTGTACAACGGTGTTACGTAAATAAATTTGGATTATACACAATAAAAATCTGGATTTACACTTAATAACCCCGCGCTGCTTTTATTTGTCCAGCGTGGGGTTATTTTTTTTTCATCAATTAATTTATTAAAAATGACAATTATTATGTTACTGAGATAATTAATTATCAATGGAAACAATTAACTCTGCCATTAATTATTTCACTGGCAAAAGAGATTCCTGTAAACTGCGTAAATATGTTTATACTTAGCTAAAGCAATATCTGTCAGTGGCGTTTCAAAACATTGTAATATGCTTTAGTTTTTTTCCAAATAGACCACCGCGAAAGTTACAAGAAACCATAATAGATTGCAATTTTAATTAATTAATTTATATAATTATTAGATAATACTGTTGTAACTGTATATTTTCCCGAATAGAACCAATCACGTCCGACGCTGATCCGAAGTATCAATTTTGTTTCACTAAATACAATCGGTCTTGAACTACAGAACCTGTTGTAAATTGTAACGTAAATAAAGTACAACCTACCGATCCGTAAAGCAATCCACAGCTATCCATGCATAAATATTGACAGGTAGCTACTCCCTGGATTTTCATCTGGCCAATACCAATAGTTGTCCTTTGCAAAATCGCTGAAAGAAAAAAAAAAACAATAATTAATAAATCATTTCCCGATCATTTAATCTATCTTTATTTTAACGATACATAAATAGGTACATCTGTTATGTGGGGAGGGGAAAATACGTCTAATATCATAATCAGTTCGAAACTAAAACAGTCTTCACATTAAAAATAAACAATGCAAAATATTTTTTTATAAAGACATACATATTTGGGGAAAGTGTACGAGATTAGTGTACTCACTATGTGCACTGTTCCATAGGTTGGCTCAATTGAATACCGTATTACCAGGCTATGTAATTTAGAGATTACCACTTCCTTTACGTTACATATACGTGTGAGGTTAGTGTACAAGATTAAGTGAACATTGCGCACTTTTCCGTAGATTAAATAAATGTTTGGGGTAAGTGCAGGAAGAAAGTGTAATCACTGTGTGCACTTTTCAATAATCTTGCGAACTTGTCGCGAAAAAACTAATGAAAATGTCCATATCGCAAAGCGGTAACACAAAATTAAGCATATGTGCAGTTTTCTATAGACTGGTACACTTATCTACCATATTAGGCTGTTATAGAAATTTAGACTATTTCCTGTACACTAAATAAACGTTTGGGATAAGTGTACTAAGTTAAGTGTACTCACTGTGCGCATTTTTCCATAGGCTGGTACACCTATCTACCGCATTACCGAGCGAGGGAATGATTTAGACGTTACTGCTTTCTATACACTAAATAAATGTTTGGGGTAAGTGCACGAAGTTAAGTGTACTCACTGTGTGCACTTTTCAATAAACTTGCGCACTTATCTACCACGGTAAATTTAATTTCGGGAATATTTGCTAGCATATCGCGAAAAAAAACTAATGAAAATGTCCATATCGCAAAGCGGTCACACAAAATTAAGATATGTGCGGTTTTCTATAGACCGATACACTTATTTACCATATTACCAGGCTGTTATAGGAATTTAGGGGTTGCTATTTCCTCTACACTAAATAAACGTTAGGGATAAGTGTATGAAGTTAAGTTTACTCACTGTGCGCACTTTTCCATAGACTTGCACACTTATCTACCGTATTACCAGACGGCGTAATATTTTAAATGTTACTCTACACTAAATAATTGTTTGGGGTAAGTGCACGAAGTTAAATGTACTCACTGTGTGTACTTTTCAATAAACTTGCGCACTTATCTACCACGGTAATATAATTTAATTTCGGAAATATTTGCTAGCATATCGCGAAAAAAAACTAATGAAAATGTACATATCGCAAAGCGGTCACACAAAATTAAGATTATGTGCGGTTTTCTATAGACCGGTACACTTATTTACCATATTACCAGGCTGTTATAGGAATTTAGGGGTTGCTATTTCCTCTACACTAAATAAACGTTAGGGATAAGTGTACGAAGTTAAGTTTACTCACTGTGCGCACTTTTCCATAGACTTGTACACTTATCTACCGTATTACCAGACGACGTAGTATTTTAGATGTTACTCTACACTAAATAAATGTTTGGGGTAAGTGCACGAAGGTAAGTGTACTCACTGTGTGCTCTTTTCAATAAGCTTGCGCACTTATCTACCACGGTAATATAATTTAGTTTCGGGAATATGTCCATATCGCAAAGCGACACTTATCTACCGTATTGCCGGACCGCTATAGGAATTTAGATGTTGCTATTTCCTCTACACCAAATAAACGTTAGGGATAAGTGTACGAAGTTAGTGTATTCATTGTGCGCACTTATCTACCGCATGATCGGGCGACGGAGCAATTTAGATTTTACTGTTTTCCATACACTAAATAAATATTTGAAGTGTTCGAAGTTAAGTGTAATCTCTGTGTGCACTTTTCCATGTCTGTACACTTATCCGCCACAGTAATATTAACGGTTAACATTCTTTAGGTTAAGTGTTTATGTTCCTCTAAAGACAAAATTAAGTTGTTTGGCGCACGTAGATGATGATGAAGCTGATAAAAGTCTGGCTTGTAACATTTAACTCTCGATTTTATTTACATTAATAATAATTAATAGCGTAATATTCTGACGCCTTTAAACCTACTTGCATTAAATGGCACATAGTAAAACGTTATCTGAAGATATCGTACATATATCGCCTAGAAAAGTTATAAACTTCATTTTAACATGTTATTTACATTTTACTTGCCTAGATTCTACGTAGAACCATTCCGCAACGTTCATTTTACATTCTGTTCAGATCGAAAATTATTTCTCGCTACAGTCATTTTCTAGAGGTTCGGGAAAAATTAGTAGGAATGTATAATATATTTAGCATGTTCGCGATAAACAATTCAGGAGAAAAGTATGTAATTAAGGGAACCCGTGATATATTTAGAAATAATAAATTGTATTGTATTGCTGTACATTTCAAGGTAAAATTTGTGTGTGCATGGTCTACTGATACAATGTGTAAGGAAAGTCGTAACTTGGCGCGAAACTTACACTATAAATTCTTCGGATTAGTTATATGAATTTTTTAAATTACTTACACCGGTTCCATAAAGAAGAATTTAAAATCTATGTATGTACATACACGGACTCCTCTCGGACAACTGAAATGTGTAGTCTAGTAAATTTTATTACTTGCGTTGTCATTTGGCGTAAAAATTGCTGCGGGGCGTTATTTACGGCGTATGGGTTCTGGTATGACTCGAATTTCTACAGGGTGTAGCGGCGGCGTTGGGCAAACTTTGAGGAGCGATTTTCCGAGTCAGAGTAAACAAAAAACCCGTTGTGCCAAAAGAATCAGGTTGTATACACCTTAGCCGACGGCGGCGGGTCTCAGCTGGCGGGTTTCAGCCAGGACAGGAGGAGGCCCCGCGAAGTGAGTTAATTTCAACACTGTATATCCTAATAATTAATCATTTATGAGTAACTTATTTTTACATTCAATATTTAGGTAATTAAAAACCAAGTCTGAGTAAAAAATTACTCAATAATAGTCAGTAAATTGGTTTTATATACTCAGAATAGAGTCAAAAGTTGCTCAATTGGTAGTTAGCAATAACTCGGTTTGGAGTAAAACTCACTCATTTCTGTTGCAATAGTTTCACTCATACTAATAGAGTGAACATTTCACTCAATAGTGTGCGGACAAAAATTGATATATTATTGAGTAAAATTGAGTGATTTTTTTTACAGTGTATATATCAGTAAATTTGTTCGTAACACCACTAAATTGAACATAAAAACTGCAGTCCTGGAAAGTTTTATTAACTTTTGCGCTTCTTGCATTAAAGTGCTATTGTAATATCTAGTTTCAGAGACCAAAGTGTAAATTTACTTGTCATCCCTGTATAAAAAAAGGAATAATTTTATTTACTCCCGATTAAAACCTGAGACACCCTGTATATTCTTTAATTTCTGTTTCTGGACACATGTTTATAGTAACTTTTTTATTGATTTGTGAATAAAGCATTAAATGTTATAGAATAGAGATCAATGTTAATTATATAATAGAATATCAGTGTAATTCGCATTGGTTTTGTAATTTTGGCGACTTGGCAACATCTGTTATTTGATTAGTTCCCTCTAGCGGGAAATTCAAAAATGAGGATAAATTCAATTTAAATTTATATAATGTAAATACTTTTCTAAAATGTGTAATTAAATTATTTCTTATTAAAGGTGGAGTTGAGACTGGTTTGTTGATTAAAAACACGAGTGAAAATTTTATTTTGGACGTTCCGAAAATTTAACAATTAATTAAGAAGACGTATGCGTTCTGAACTTTTTTTTCACGAACAATGCATTGTACGAGTGGAGATTATCTGGAGCAAATCAGAAGACCGCGTGGAATGAGATAATAACTGTATCCTACGAATTCCAGATAGTATTTAGTTCTATTGACATTTGTCCGTTCTGTGGATAAAATAATTATAGGGAAGTTTTTCGTAGTGGACAGACAATTAAGACATTTATCACTATAATTTAGTAGCAGTTGTTTTTATTATACAAATAGACCTTTTTGATTGGCGGCGACATGCAACATCCATAGAATGGGGTCACACGGTTTATTTTATAGTCAGACGGCGAAGAAGCGTTCTAAGTATATCGTTTAGTACTTTTGAGAATGGGACAATTATATTTAAGATTATGAAAACTTTTAGGTGACATATTTATGCATCTCCACCAGTTATATAATACGCGGAGCAATGTGGGACGTTCTCTGCTAGAAAATGAGGAATACCTAGTTTGCTTTTACATTGTATGTAGTAGATTAGAATGTGCTCCGTTATCAAAATTTTTCTTATAACAATTTACATATGATGTCTTCCTTAGATAATAACGTTTTGAAATACCTCCGTGGCACTGTGTCTGAACGAATGCAGGCAGCATCGTATATCACGTCATCTCGGGAAATATATGGGCTTTTTTACATAATTATGCGTGTAGTCATTATATAATTTACGCGATGTAGGGTATATAGGCTTATTTTAAGTGGTGACATTCAGATTCATCACACAATGACATTTCATTCCTTCTAAACATCAGCCATTTGATTCTCGGCCAAGCCGGAAATTGTAACTACTATGTGCTTGATAAAATAAATACAATTATTTCGTGATATATCTACTTCAAAAATTCAAACCCAAATACTATATTTATATCACCCGCTTCCAAAACGTTGGTTGGGTGCTAATTCGGGATTCCGATCTAAAAAGAGAATTGCGACACGTTCTGTTAGACAATAGAGGGAGAATGAAAACCTATTAATTATTAGTTACTTGCATTTCATAAAGATTACACGCCACCTGACCAGTAATTCTGTTTGTAGCAGTAATTTTATTACTCTCGCGTTAGCAATCAAAGTTTAGTAAAATTAAAAATTATGAAAGCAATAAGATCAAGATTACGCTAAAATACAGCATTCTGTTTCACCGGATGGTGATTGGTGCAACATTTTTTCGACCAATCGGCATCGCATTAACTTCAGCCTAGACGCTAAGATTTAGGAATTGGAATTTTTACACGCAAAAAACATG